TTTCTTTTTTAATAGAGTAGGGGGTCTCACTGTTTTGCCCAGGCTGGTCTCAAACTCCTGGCCCCCAGTGATCCTCCCGCCTCAGCCTCCCAAAGCACTGGGGATTACAGGTGTGAGCCTCCAGGCCTGGCCCCAAACTAGTTTTCAACTGTTGGTTTTCAAATCTGTCATATCTCGGTTCTCACCAGTCAATTGTTGTATACTTTGCATCGATTTATTAGAATCCATTTAAAATCTCTCATTTTAGCCTCTTCTACTTGTCGAGCCACTAATCCTAGAAGTTTACTGGCAACTCTACATTGTCATATTTTAATTTGCATTTAACTTTGCATATATTTAATGTGCATTTGGTTTTGCTTTTAGTTTGATTGTTCATTTGCATCTCTCCTTTCTGAATTGCCTGCTGTTCTTTGCCCACTTTTTCTACTGGAGATTTTTGTTTTGTGTTGTGTTGTTTTGTTTTTTTTGAGACGGAGTCTCGCTCCGTCACCCAGGCTAGAGTGAAGTGGCATGATCTCAGCAACCTCTGCCTCCCAGGTTCAAGCGATGCTCCTGCCTCAGCCTCCCGAGTAGCGGGGATTACAGGCACCCGCCACCACGTCCAGCTAATTTTTGTATTTTTAGTAGAGACAAGGTTTCACCATGTTGGCCAGGCTGGTCTTGATGGAGTTTTTAAAAATTATTATTATTGTTGTTAAGACTAGTCACGTGCAGCAGTGAGAAGGAGGGAGTCTATTGGAGTTTTAATATCACGTATACAGACGGATATGGTGGCTCATGCCTGTAATCCTGGCACTTTGGGAGGCCAAGGCAGGCCGATCACAAGGTCAGGAGATCAAGACAATCCTGACTAACACGATGAAAGCCCGTCTCTACTAAAAATACGAAACAGTTAGCTGGGCATGGTGGTGCATGCCTGTAGTCCTAGCTACTCGGGACCCTGAGGCAGGAGAATCATTTGAACCCAGGAGGTAGAGGTTGCAGTGAGCCGAGATCGCACCACTGCACTCCAACCTGGTGACAGAGCGAGACTTCATCACACACACACAAAATCACATGTACAATGAATATTAAGAATATCAACACTTCCTTTGTTATAGAAAATCTCCACATATCCACTGGGCATCTCTCTAATCCTGGGGCTATGCATGGGCTCTTTTATTTGTTCTAAATGTAACCCTTCCAAGCTTCATGAGATAATCCTTACAATTAATTTTCCAAAATTTGGTAAACAAATTCATATTAATATTCAGTGACCCCATGAAGGCAAGGCGTTGTCTGTCTTGTCCATGATTGAATTTCAGCACCTAGATGTGCGTGGACCAAGTAGGTGTTTGATAAATATTTATCTAATGAACAGAAGATCCACACAGGAGTTCAGAAATTAGTGTTCTCCCCTGAGCCATCTGCCTTCTCTTTCCTCCTTCCTTCCTTCCTTCTTTCCTTCCTTCCTCCCTCCTTCCCTCTCTCCCAGCTTCCCTTCCTTCCTCCCTCCCTTCTTTCTGTCCTTCCTTTTTCCTTCTTCCCTCACTCCCTCCTTCTTTCCTTCTTCCTCTCTCCCTCCCCTTCTCTCTTCCTTCCTTCCTTCCCTCCCTCCCTCCCTCTCTCCCTCTCTCTCTTTCTTTTCTTTCCTTCCTTCCTTCCTTTCTTTCTCTCTCTCTCTCTTTCTTTCTTTCTTTCTCTCTCTCTCTCTTTCCTTCTTTCCTGTTTTAAGACAGGATCTTGTTGCTCTGTCATACAGGCTCAAGTGCAGTGGCATGATCTCAGCTCACTGCAGCCTTAACCTCCTGTGGTCAAGCATGCTTCTACCTCAGCCTCCTGAGTAGCTGGGATCACAGGCACACATCACCATGCCAGGCTTTTTTTTTTTTTTTTGTAGAGACAGTGTCTCACTATATTGCCCAGGTTGGTCTTGAACTTTTGGGCTTGAGAGATCCTTCTGCCTGGGCCTCCCAAAATATTGAGATTACAAGTGTAAGCCACTGTCCTGGGCTGCCATCCTCTTTCTAAACTTAAAAAAAGAAAATCTTAATGTTTTTTAAGGCCCCAACATCAGCCTTTGATTGCCATGATTATGCTAATGGTTTTTCTCTAAACTATTTTCTTGATATACAATAATTTAAAATGTATGTGGGCCAGGTATTATGGCCCATGCCTGTAATCCCAACACTTTGGGAGGCCAAGGTGGGCGGATCACCTAAAGTCAGGAGTTCAAGGCTGGCCTGGGCAACATAATGAAACCCTGTCTTTACTAAAAATATAAAAAAATTAGCTGGGTGCGGTGGCAGGCCTGTAATCCCAGCTACTTGAAAGGCTGAGACAGGAGAATTGCTTGAACCCGGGAGACAGAGGTTACAGTGAGCTGAGATGGTACCATTGCACCCAGCCTGGGCAATAAGAGCAAGGCTCCATCTCAAAAATAAATAAATAAATATATATATATATATAAATAAATAAAATGTATGTGGTATATTCTAGGGTGTATACAAAAGTGGGAAAATATTTTTAGCTTTCTTTTTCTTCTTCTTCATTTTCTTCTTCTTTCTTCTCCTCCTTCTTCTTCTTAGGTCTTCTTTTTTCTTTTTTTTTTTTTTTTTTTTTT